AGTTCAGTGCCAAAACGGTGCCGTTTTTGGTCTTTTTCTCTTCGGCATTTTGTCGAGCAGTTGGTGGGCACATTCTGGGTTAAACATTTTCGAGGCCGCCGGTTTGAGCTAGGCGCCGACGAGCCTCCGGCGACCCTTTTGCTTGATTTTTTTTTTATCCTGTATCATCTCCTCATCACCACCAATCGTCCTCAGCTTATAGATTAGTTGTTGGACCACACGAAAGGGGAAGGAAGAGAAATGAGAACAAAGAAAGAATTGTATTTCTGTTACTGCTAGGTTTACATGTACAATGCTTAATATATAATACAAGATATGTGCAACAAGAGGAAAGAATATCTTTTATATATCCTAATCCTAGATTGATTCATTCAATCAACTATAATCTCGAAATGATTTAAATGTATCAATCATTATCTGGATTGATTCAGGCATATCTTCCAACACTCCCCCTCAAGCTGGTGGCTTATATATGTCCAAGACACTTAGCTTGCTCAGTAGATACGCGTGTTGTCTTTGGCATAAAGGTTTGGTGAAGATATTCGCAAGTTGTTCTGTGGTTCCAATCCCTCTTGTTTTGATTATTCCTTCTTGGATCTTGTCTCGAGTGAAGTGACAATCCACTTCAATATGCTTTGTTCTCTCATGCACTATTGGATTTGCCGCAAGCTTAAGTGCTGCATCATTGTCGCAGAACAACAATGTTGGTCCTTTTACTTTAACCCCAAGGTCCAAAAGAAGGCCTCGTATCCATACTATTTCACATACGGTCTTGGCCATAGCTCGATATTCTACTTCAGCTGATGATAAGGATACGGTAGACTATTTCTTTGTCTTCCATGAAAGCAATGATTCTTCTATTTTGATGCAGAATCCAGTGATAGACCTTCGGCTCATAGGACAGGTGGCATAATCCGTGTCACAATAGGCTGTCATTTCCATATTACATTTTCTAGAAAGAAGAATTCCAAGTCCTGGGCATCCCTTTAAGTACTTCACGACTTTCAAGGCTGCATTCATGTGGGATTGTTTCGGACTATGCATGAATTGACTGAGTGTCTGAACTGCATAACATATACCAGGTTTGGTCATGGTGAGATAGATGAGTTTCCTGACGAGTCTTTGATAACTTGATGGATCCTTGAGTAATGGGTCATTGTCTAATAATCCCATATCATATTCAGCTGTAGTCAATTTGATGTTCTCCTCGATAGGGATAACAACTGGTTTGCATCCTGATAGACCTGCTTCTGATATAATTTTCAAAACAAATTTCCGTTGGCTAAGAGAGATTCCCTGGTCTGATCGGGCAATTTCAATTCCAAGGAAATATTTGGGTGATCCTAAGTCTTTAATATGAAAAGTGGAATGCAGATAATCTTTCAGACTTTTCACAGCAGAATCATCGTTCCCCATAATCAGTATGTCATCGACATATATCATTAGATAAATAGATGACGTACCTCTCGTCCATGTAAATAGAGCATAATCATGTCGAGACTGACTGAAACCAGCTGTCATAAGCGCAGTAGTAAATTTAGCATACCACTATCGAGAAGCTTGTTTGAGACCATAAAGAGATTTATGGAGACGACATACTCTAGACTCCCCCTGTCTCCTTAATCCCTGCGGAAGATCCATATAAATTTCTTCATCCAGATCACCATGGGGGAAAGCATTGTGAACATCCATTTGATGTAGTGGCCAATCACAAAAAGCAGCAATCGACAGAAAAGAGCGAACTGTGACGTCTTTTGCTACAGGAGAAAAAGTCTCATGGTAGTCGAATCCCTCTCTTTGTGTGAAGCCTTTGGCTACTAATCGAGCTTTATATCTGTCAACTGATCCATCTGCTTTGTACTTTATTTTGTAAACCCATTTGCAACCAATTGATTTATGGAGTGGTGGCAATGGTATGATTTCCCAAGTTTTATTTTCCATCAGGGCATGTAATTTTGCCTCCATTGCTTTTTGCCAACGTGGGTCAGTAGCTGCTTCTTCATATGTGGAAGGTTCTCTTTCTTCTGAAATTCGGCTAATACAACATGTGTGGTCCGATGACAGCCGATGAAAAGAAACATAAGAGGAAACTGGATAGTGAATATCTGGTGAAGCAGCACATACATAGTCCTTGGTCCATGTAGGTGGTCGAGTAGCACGACCGGACCGTCGAGGTGGATTAGGTTGTATTTGCTCAAATTGATTCCGGGTATTAGCTTCTCCTATGGAAGAGGAGGCAGGACTCTTTTCAAAATTTTCTGCATATTCTTCTGTCAAATGTTCTGGATTTGAAGAATCGCCAATGGTGTCTATTTCTAGGCTAGTATCTGGATAATTTGACGATGGAACAAGAACACATTGCTGTCGAGAAGACAAGTCCTCTTCAAATAAGAATTTACGGTGATCCAGAATCGGTCCAGAATGTTCAGCTGAAGATGCTTCATTCTGGAAATGCGGCCGGCGAAAAGCCGGTCGGAAAAACCTATCTTGCAACTATTCTAGATTAACTCCTCAAAACTTCAAGTCCTGATTCTACTCGCCCTAGCCGTCTAGATTGCTCAAAACAAACATCAAACCATCATACAAGGTCAAAGAAGACTGACTCGGGTGGCCATTGGCCACGGGGGACACTCTGGCGAAGGTTCTTCAAGCTCCGGCGAGGTGTTTTTGGTAACAGCTGAGACATTTTATGCATGTTTTGCAATAAAAAAACGCAATCAAACAAAGCAAAACACGATTAGAACACGTTTTAGACACCTAATATAATAAAATCATAGAGAAACATGACCGAACAAACCAAAGCATTTTTTTGGAATTCTGGAAAAATCAGTGTTGAAGACTGAACTTTACCTACTTGATCGGAGGATTAGAAAAGCTTTCCGAGTTGATCAAATGCCGTAAACTTGTTCACTCACACTTGAACTTCAAGCTGAAGGTTTCAGCTTCGCCGGAGAGGCTTCAAGCACACCTACCGATACTCATTTTCAGACCTCGATGAACAGTTTCGTCATAGGTTCACCAGATGTGGAAGTCCTCAATTGGAGCCGATTTACCGGCGTTTTTCTTGCCGGAAAAACGCCGATCGCTCGGTCCTTGGGGCCTCGACATACCTCTCACACTATTTCTCTCTCTGTGTCTTCCTTTCTCTCTCTGGAATTTCCCTGAGTACCTTCTGTGCTTTGTTCATTTTTTTCTTCCCTTTTTGTTCATTGATTTTTCCCGCCCAAAGTTCATTCCAACGACTTCCGATCGGTTGGATCGAATATCTGGTGCCAGCTGGAGATTCTCCAGCTGGCCATCTTAATTTTCACGTGTTCAATTGTTCAAGGTAAGTCGGCAAAGTCACAGGTATAACTGGATTTTTCTGGGTTTCATTATGCCTTGGGGCAAGTCGGGTAAGGAAAACAGGTTTTCGGGTCGGGTCGGGTCGGGACGACCCAGAAAGTCCGGTTTTGATTAAAAGCTCGAATTGAGCCCAATTTCGATCGATTTTTTTCAAATTAAATCCCAAAATGGAATTCCTCATCACATTTTGAATCCAAATATGTAATGTTTCCCAATTTTTGATAAAATCATGTCCAAGATTTTTAAATTTTTGTATTTGGGTTATCAGGGTTTTATTCAATTCAATATTTTAATGACCTGATTAGACAAAATTGGTGCCAAAATTGAATTACCCACATATGATTAACCTTAGAAATGATGGTCTCATGGTTCGACAATTTCGTATTGGGCACGATTCCCAATTTGGACTCAAAATTTCTAATTTTTAATTGAATTTTGGGGTTTTCTGATTTCTTTGACAAATTGTGCAATTGAACTGACCATTATGTAATTCAAGGTCCCAAAATCATTTGTTGTGAAGACACTATGACTTAACAATGACTAGAAAAGATTTAATTGCATTTTTGGTTCAATTCGGGTTTGATTTTGCCCAATTTTGGGAAAAACACATACCCAATTGAAATTTTTCAAAATTGATGATTTATTAATGAAATTGGATTTAAAATAAGACTAATGACTATTTTTATGGAATTTTATGATTCCATTTGCTATTTTTCTTGATTTTCTCACTTATTTTGACTAAAAGAAATTAAAGGAAAATGCAGGAAAATGCTAAAAAAATTGTTTTTGGTTTAGAAGTAGGTTTCTAGGCTTGGCCAAGATTCCTAATCCTGATTTTGAGATTTTTGAAAATATAAAAAAAATGAGCTAAAAATCAGGTGTCAACAGCTGCCCCTCTTTGAGAGTGAGCTCGTTAGAGATTTATCTGAAAGACAATGTGACACCTGAATTTTTTAGTCGACTCAATGAATAAGATAAGATGAAAATTTCACAACAACTGATTAGGGATCTTGCTTTTAAAATTCGTGATCCAATCCAATGGTTTTCTTTTCAGAACACATTTTGAAAGGTTCTTAATGATCGAGGGAGAGAAACTTACCTATTTGTGAGCGTCTCTTTGTTGCTTATCTAAGAGTATAAATTGATGGCGGTGATGATTATGATGATTATTCTGATTTCGTGATTTAAGGATAAACCCACGAACCATGAACACATAAGGCTCATCGCCTGTAGGGGTGAGCAGTTCCAGGTTCCGAGTAGATTCCGCCTGGAACCTGGAACCTATCCTCGGGTACAGGTTCCTCAAAATGAGAAACCTAAAACCTACCCATCGGAATGTGGAACCTGAAACCTACCTTGTCATAGGTTCTAGGGTCAGTTCCAGGTTCCAACAGGTTCTTTTTTTAATTTCATTTTGAATTAAACAAAACGAAAATAAAAGCAAGAATCCTTCATACTACAGGCAGCACCTAAGACTGTTCTTTCCAAAGTGTTATTTTATTAGAATTTAGTGGAAACAATGGAGGATATGATAGATAAGACACATTCCTATCATATAGCATGCCCAACAGAGCTCTACTTGCAACTCGCATGTAAGTGAACTGTCATTTGTAACACAAGCAAGAAACCTTGACACAGCAACTGCACAGCAAAAGTGACGAAGAACATTGTCAATTTCCACAAATCAAAGAAATTTGCAAGACAACCGGTAATTGCACAATGGGGCACTTAAGGTCATCAATCTAAAAGCCTCCTCTCTCAGAAAAAAAGGCTGAACCGCGGAGTGCCAAGAATACACCAATCTAGTGATTAAAACAAAACTTTCAACTGCATCCATGAGCCGCAAGGTAAGGCCCCATAAGTGAGGCCAAAAATAAGGAAAGGAAAAATCACCAACAGAACAATGCTTGTAACCCCCAACCCCCCTGCCAAAACAAAAAAACCCCACAATATGCTAGAGGGCATAGACTAAAATGACATCAAATGAAAACAACAATGAATCAAAAAATGCCATCGCTACATCACCTCATGGGAGCTGTAGCCAAAAATGAAAAAGAAAACAAAGACAACATCGACCGAGTCAACGCGAAATTGCTAAAAGAAATCCAAATAAGATCACGATCGCAAATGGGTCGGGGAATTCAATCAACAACAACAACAAGAGAAGGATAAAGGGACCCACTTTGATACATAAATTGCCAGTGCAGATGATGTGCTGGATCTTGCCAGGGACGAGCATGGACTTGAACTTGGCGGGCAGATCAGGCGCCTTGTGCAGTATGTGCAGATCCCCCAATGCCAACACCAATACCATCTTTCTTGTTCTCGCTACTCTCTATCGATCACAACGACAACGATAAGAAAAAGGGTCAACGAAAAAACAAGAAAAGGTAATATTTCCGCACCCAAAGACGATCCTTTCTATTTCTCTTTCTCCCTCGATCGAGCTTCAACAATCAATCTCTCTTCTTCTTCTCCCCTTAACACAGCGCATGAAGTTCATATTGTGCAAGTGCGTAACAGTGATGCAAACTAACAAGGGCTTTGCAAAGAGAGAGAGAGAGAGACGTTGACTTGGACATACCCTGGAACCGAAGCGGACATGGAAGACCCTTCTCTGTCCCTCGTTCTTGTCGTGCTTTGAAACTTCTCCCTTTCTCCTTTGGTTTACTATCTCGAACTCACCTCGTCTTCGTCCACGCGCCTCCGGTAATCAGGTTCTTCGCCATCCCACGCTCTGTCGTCGTCCCTCCCGGGCCTCGAACCACCACTCACGCTACCTCTGGCCCTCGAACCAAGCGATCCTTAGCAGAATCCTCGTCCCCGCTCGAGATGCTCAGCATCTCGACGTCCAAATCGTTATCGTCGTTGACCACCCTCCTATTCCCATTGTTGCTGCCCCTGTTCTTGTTGCCACCGCCCCCAATCTGCCGCTGCGCACCACCGTAGCCCGCCTTCGCGGCCGGCGCCACCGCAGCGGAGCTCCTCTGCTGGGTGCGGTTGATGAAGACAGAGGAAGAGCCGAGGCGACGCCGAACGGAGAGAGGAGAGACAAGCTCGTCGAGTCGTGGGTGTGGGGAGTGCGAGAGAGAGCAGACTAAAGGAGGACCGAGCGAGGGGAAATATGGGGAAGAAACAAGAAACTAACAAAAGATAGGGTTTTTACAGAGTAAAGTAAACCGGTTTTGATTTCGGTTCCGGCTCCCCGGTTCCTAAAAATTTGGAACCAGGAACCGGAACCTACCACCTTGGAATCGGGAACCAAACCGGACCCGCCGGTTCGGTTCTTCGGTTCTTCGGTTCTTGGTTCTACCTTAGAACTGTGCTCACCCCTAATCGCCTGAGGAATTGAAAATTTGCCTAGTGGTTCCTCACCAGTAGGACTTTAAACTTTGCCTAGTGACTCCTCGTTAGTAGGACTTTGGAAATTGCCTAGGGGCTCTTCGCCTGTAGGACTTTGGAAATTGCCTAGTGGTTCCTCATCAGTAGAACTTGAATTTGTCTAGTGGTTCCTCACCAGTAGGACTTGAATTTGCCTAGTGGCTCCTCACTAGTAGGACTTGAATTTGCCTAGGGGCTCCTCGCCTGTAGGACTTTAAATTTGCCTAGGGGCTCCTCGCCTGTAAGACTTGAATTTGCCTAGTAATTCTTCACCAGTAGGACTTGAATTTGCCTAGTGGTTCCTCACCAGTATAACTTGAATTTGCCTAGGGGCTCCTCGCATGTAGGATTTGAATTTGCCTAGTGGTTCCTCACCAGTAGGACTTGAATTTGCCTAGGGGCTCCTCGCCAGTAGGACTTGAATTTGCCTAGGGGCTCCTCGCCTGTAGGACTTGAATTTGCCTAGTGGTTCCTCACCAGTAGGACTTGAATTTGCCTAGGGGCTCCTCGCTTGTAGGACTTGAATTTGCCTAGCGGTTCCTCACCAGTAAGACTTGAATTTGCCTTGGGGCTCCTCGCCTATAGGACTTTGAATTTCCCTAGTGGTTCCTTATCAGTAGGACTTGAATTTGCCTAAGGGCTCCTTGCCTGTAAGACTTGAATTTGCCTAGGGGCTCCTCGCCTGTAGGACTTTGGAAATTACCTAGGGGCTCCTTGCCTGTAGGACTTTAAATTTGCCTAGTGGTTCCTCACCAGTAGTGTAACACCCTTACCTCACCTCGGTCACATCCCGGCCAAGACCTTAACTTGAGGCTTACTTTGTGACGTCCCGTTTATTGTTATCTTTCTTTAAACACAAGCGGAAGCATAATTTCGGGACAATCATATTCAAATCAAACAGCGGGATTAAGACAAACAGCATCATGAGAAAACCTTATATAACAGCTTGAAATCAAGGAAAGCACAACAGGCATAACATGCTATCTCCATTTCACTTAAACAGATTTTTACAAGCCCTTTTTCCACTGGCCGTTTCTCGTACAAATCATATTACAAGCGGAAGCCGAGGTTAATCCTAGCTCCTCTATGTCGTCCTTCATCTCACGGACCTGAAAAAGGGAAACAACGGGGGATGAGTCGGGGAGACTCAATGAGTAAATTCACTAATACTCGTGCAGGATAATGCCTCATCGTTGTACTAACGCATACAAATACTTTCCCCATCTTATGTCGATGGCAAATCAATAGCAAAGACTTTAACCTTGCCCTTGCTATGTTTACATGGAAACTCACCTGTAAATGCACATCCCGGCACACATATAGAATTCATTTATCACATATTGGCACATATATAAGAATCATTTACAGTCATCCTGCCTCAACCAGGGCATCCCGGCTAAACCGAGGCATCCCGGCTCAATCGAGACATCCCGAGGCTAGCTCACTCGAGGCATCCGAGCTCAACCAAGGCATTCTCGCTCAACTAGGGCATCCCGGCACTAGTTTACCGAGGCATCCAGGCTCAACCCAGGCATCCTAGCTCAACTAGGGCATCCCGGCACTAGTTTACCGAGGCATCGCCGCCAACGCGACGGTCTTCTTTTTTCCTGTAGTGATCACACATCATGAGTCACACAAGCCGGTTTATTATCTTGATTTCATTAGTCCATGCAATCGAGCCCAAAGGCATGCCGTTCTTGTGTAATCATGATCTCTATGACATTCGCCTAACATGTGAGTCACGGTCGAGGGTACGTGACTCGGTCCGCCACGTCGAGTGCCGGCTCGGAGCCGAACTTGGCCCGGATCTACACGCCTCAATGTAAACCCGTACCAAGCCGAACTCGTCCCGTGACGCCACAACATGAGTACGAAACCATACGACACCCCGTTTCGTGACTCATACGTGCCTTGACTTACGATCATGAAGCAAAATAGCAACCACTCATGCAAACATCGAGCATCACAAACACAGTCACTACTCGAACCAAACACACAACACCACGTCCTATCCTCTTATCAACAAGCATGGATGAGAACATCAAGCATGGTAACAAGCGATGCGTGCAACATCAAGACAAACAACAACAACAAGCAAGTCCCAACAAAGGCTTAGATGAGAGCTCAAGCCAACCAGCATTGTAACTTCCTATCCCGAGATTAGGGAATCCACTGGCGTGCCGCTTTCCAACCACGTAACACACCGCCCTATCCAAGTGTTAGAGAATTCACTCACTTATAAGCACAAGTAAACGTCTACGGCGGTCGGCGGCGGCAAATGGTGAGAGAGAGAAAAGTGCTCGGCGTGAGGGTGAACACGGGAGTCTCGGGTGATTCTCGGGCGTTGATTCTCTAAAGGGCCAAACCAAAAAGCAAGGAAAGATTTGGCGGAGTCTTTTTCTTGGGTGTGAAAGTGGAAGAAAAGATGGTGATGGCCAGTTGGTGGGGACGTGAGAATGAGAAAGAGAATGAAAAAGAGGAGAGGAAGTGGCGTGAGAATGGAGAGGAGGGACTTCACGTGAGGCTTCTTCAACCATTTGGACTCCTTCAATTTATAGCAAGTCAAGGCAAAAAGAAAGACAAAGTGTCATTTTCAAGGGGGTCTCTAAAGTCCAAGTTTATTTAATGTATGCCATCATGACAAGTCCCCAAAAGTCTAAGGCTATTAAATGTTTGTCATCATAAGAGGGCTTCAAAGTCAAGAGTCATGATGGATAGCATTAAAGTTCATTAATGGACTATAGCCAAAGCAGCATGATGAAGAGATCAAAATGAATCCAAGCCATTAATGGTTTCTCTCTTCCTTTCCCTCTCTCGGCTCTCTCTCGGCTCACTCTCGTTTTCCCCCTGGGATGACCTCCAATCAAAGCATAAAATATCTCATTTGAAAGCTCAGAATGTATGCTTTAAATCATCAGAAGACATCAAGTCGAAATTCCAACATTCTCATATAGAAAATGCTGAATCTTTGAAATTTGACAAAACCGGGTAGTTTTGTACTGTTCACGAAATCGGATTTGAAAACATAGTAAATGGATTCAAAAAATTCTCAAATTCGAATATGTCATGAAAGAGGCCTTAAAATACATTTTCCATGAGAACATGAAACCTAAATCTTTCTGTAAACATAACTTTTAGTAGATCAAAGACAGACTAAAAACAGTTCGCTGGAACAGAATCTTTGCTTCTAAAAGTAAGCTCTTTCCAGAATCTAAATGATCTCCAAAAATTCCCAAATTTATATATGTTATAGAAAAATAAGTTATCAACAAATTTTGTGAAGGAATTTTATTCAAACTCGGCCCAGAAAAGCTTGTAGAAAATCGAGAAAGTGTAAACATCACAGAAATACCCATTCTGGGCAGTCTTATACGGTCCGAAAACGAGGTGATCGTCCAACCCAAATCAAGTTTAAAAATTCTGAAATTAAAGTATGTAAAACTTCAAGATGTTTGGAACAACTTTCAAGAAGGAAGTGTTTGGAAATTCAGATCACAAAAGTCTCCACAAAAATAACAAAATAACTGGGTACAAAGGATATGAATCTGGATTTTTCAGAACAAGATGAAAATTGGCTCTGATTGGAAAACCACCAAACTTAACCCATAGCCATTTCCCAGGGACTGAAATTGAGGATGTTACAAGTAGGACTTGAATTTTCCTAGGGGCTCCTCGCCTGTAAGACTTGAATTTGCCTAGTGGTTCCTCACCAGTAGGACTTGAATTTGCCTAGGGGCTCCTCGCCTGTAGGATTTTGGGAAGACTTCAAACAGTGAATGCCTTGACCATGAGTTATGTGATTTTGAGGTTTCACTCACCTTTGTATGGTTTTTTTTAATTGACCAAAAATTATTTTGAAAAGTAGTTTTGAAATTAATCAAAACTATTTGAAGCGTGATTTTTTTTTAGCTTACCACAAACTGTTTGAAAACTTGATTTTAGGTTGACCAAAAGCTTTTGAAACCTGGTCTTGGAAACATGCATTCTTTGCATTAATGCATTCCAGACAATCAAATTTCTTTTTTAAGGAATTATTTGAACAAAGTGCTTGCAATCTTTCAAGAAATGCTTGAAATAATCATTTGGAAGACCTTTATTAGAAAGGATTTGTCTCAATCTTGAACTTGGTCTTTTCTTTATCTGAATGGGAATTTGTCAGATATCCCTCGATTTTATCTCTCTTAATCAATCCTCAGATGTTCGGGGATGTTCACAATATATACAATCCAATTGATCCGATAAGGTCTTTTGGAGGACTGTAATGTTGGCTTGGTCAATGACTATTCAAAGGATAGGCATTTTGAGGCCAAGAAAAAGGATTTCATCATATCTAACTTCGGATCTACAAGTTAAAAACCTCGAGGACAAAACAAGATATTATTGCATATACTTCTTTGAGTGATGACTTCTTGTCATAAAGTCATGTTTCTACTATTAACATCCCAATCTGAAGAGTCTTTAGGGAGATGCTGTATTGTTTTTTCTTTGGTAAGGATAGAGAGGTTGTATTATTGGTATTGAGTAGGCTCAAAAAAGGCTCATTTGTTTGAATTCAGGATTTTTATAAAATTGGTGATCTTCTTGGCATCACCACCTTTTTTCTTTTTTGCTCACTAGGGGTCTTTCTTTTATGAACATCAGAGTCCCCTAAACATTCATCACAATCTCTTTTTTTTATTCTCACGTGTTGTGATCTATGATCTCTCGTGATTTTGGCTTTGCTTTGTCATGACTTTTTTTTGTCATTTTGAGCTTTCTTTTAAACTCTCTTTTTCTTTCTCATTTTTCTTGGG